GTTAAGACACATATTTTAAATGAATATTATCTCAAATTTTCTAAACATTTCACGACTTATATGTTGCTATAGCATTTCACACTGAAATAGAATTAAAAACTTATTTCATCTGGAAACTATTGAAACTTCGAATTCCGGGAGTCATTTAATTAAAACATTTTTGCTCTTTCACTAATTTTAATTTCATCCTTTAATCCTTTTAAGGACAGATGATACAAAAAAAAAAAAAAAAACGGATGCCTGGATTGGTATTTATTTTTTGACGTTATTTCAATGCAAATGATGAAAATAATAAATTTCTAGAATATTAAGAAATTGTAAACCTTCTGTGATGTTCAAAATTCTGCCTTTCTAAAACCATTCTTTACATTCTATACAAATATTTTTAACTTGAAATTCCATTCTTGTGCAATTTTGAATAAAAAATTAAAAACTACGCGGTGAAACCTATTCATTTTATTTATTAAAATATGACCCAAGTTGTTATTCTCAAAAGTTTTGACAAAAGTTTGTTTGTATCATCTGTCCCTAAATGCGCAAAAAAGTAGCAATTTTGTTGTGTTTTAATGAATGATATTACATATATATCCAGAAAATTCAGAGTAAAATTGTGCGAAAGGAAAATCCCTCTAACTTAAATTATATTAGTCCTTGCTTGTTTTCGTGTAGCTGTGTGCGGAGTTGAACAAATTGAATGCACCTGTGAAACGTAAACTGCGTTTGTAATTAAACAGGGCACGAGCTCTGTTGTTTCACTTAAACTAATAAAAGAATATCAGGTCATCGATTTCAAATAAATCATGGGGTTCAGCAGCATTTATCAAATTTACCTGATCATTCTATTTTGTCAATGCAAGTTGACCACACAGTCCGTCACTGAGTACACCTTTCTGTAGACAACGAGAAGATTTTTGAATTAGAAAACTACTGTAGGGACAGCTTTTCCCTATGGATACAATGACAATGTCGATAAAGTTGGAAATCTTTCCAGTCCACAGTGTAACAATGTTTATGTGATGGAACTTTTTAACCATACACAGAGACGTAAGCGTAGTCATGGGCATAGTCTTACAATAAACCTGTAACGATGTCTCTTCTGATTCATTACTGCATGTACCTTATGTACAAGGGTTGTTCGAAAATTTCGTGGACGATGTCAATCTTCGTTATTTTACTCACTAGAAATTTTAAATAAGCACGGTATAATATTCTCAAAAGTTTTGACAAAATATTTGTTTTGTTGGTGTGTGAAGTTTCATTCCATTCGATTTAAAAGAAATCAATTTACTTCATTTTAAAATCAACATGTTTTGTACCCGCGGAGCACACTTAACAGCAATGTAACGTCTAAACATAGCGTCAAGAATACCTAAAAATTACTATCCCTATACATTTCACACTTTATAATCCAATGCCCACTCATTAGATCTTTTTTCTAATACTTTACATTTATTTTTTTTAAGAATTGCTCTCTTTGGATAATTAACTTTGTTAAGCTTTTAATTTCTTTTATTTCTTAACTCTGCTTTCACAGGATAAGCAGTCTGAAGGCGCCTATGTCTTTCTTTGACGTTCCAACTTTTTAGAATTTTTGGTCAGATTCTTACAGTTAAAATGTTTGTTCACAGATACACAGAGTCATATACTGCCTGTACTATGTGTACACACATAAACAACTCGCTTGTGTCATATTTTCTTGATTCCTTTAACATTCTTAGAGTTTATTCAGGATTTTTCCAGGGTAAAACACAAAACTGCATCCTTATCTGCTGCTCCGCGACGTTCTAAAACGTCATCGATTTTTGTTGTTTTCAATAAGGACCTCCAATCTTCTCAAGTTGATTTCTTTTCAACACAGCAAAATATAAAGCCATAATATGGTATGTGAATCGATGAAACAATTCTTAATTTGAATTTCTAGGTTGTTTTTCGCTTTTGCTCCATTTTAGAGAGAATATGACTACAGACATCATTTAGTGTATTATCTTTAACTTACTAAATTTTGACCTGCTCCGCGACCCGATTTTTGTATTTTTAAAATCTGGATAAATTTTGAATTAATCGTAATATTTTGAAAAAGATTTAATGCAAATCATTTGGATTTATTGTTAAAATATTTCTACCAAATTTGGATAACATATGACATCAAATAAAAAAAGATATGAAGTTGTCCACGAACTTTTCGAACAACCATCGTACATCAACATTTAGGTTAACATCATATTCGCACCAAACTTTACTCTGTCCCTTTGAAACTTTTAAATAGTCTTTTTGAAAAGGCCAAGGGATGCCCAGAGTTTGATTTCCTCGACAATAGAATATAGGCTCTTATCTGTGATTATGGATATTGCAAATCATAAGCTTTTTAAACCCGCACGTTTTACTGAAGAAAATGCAGCTTAAACAATCCGTTTTTTCCTTAAACTTTAATATTAATGTGGCAATGAAGGAATTGATGCGGTTAATATAAATAGTATTCTTAATCACAAAAGTGTCCAGTCTTCTATATTCCACCATATTTCAAGTTAAAGACTACACCTTGTATTTCCTACAAATATACATCGACCATTGCTTCCAAACTTTTCAATTACAAAAAATCTCTACATGGTCTGGACACATGTATCAAGTATCTGAAACAGAATCCTCCATTGTGCTCATGTTCTTCTTCGCCCTATAACTATAGTCCTGCTGGACACGTCATTAAAGGTGACGTAAATATAGTTGATAATGAAGACCTTAGATCACTTATTTTAAAAGGTCCTAAATATAGGGAACCCCGTTCTTTCAGCAGGCGTCGGAATTTCATAAATATTATGGATTCTGTTGAAGATTACGCCAGACGATGCGCCAGATATGAAAAAGAAGACGTTGTGACTTAGTCAGAATGGATTAAATGTATCAGGTCCATATTAAAATCGCGTATTAAAAGATTGAGGGGCAATGTGAAAACCATCTATCCTTCTGTTTTCAAGAATCTAGAAGTGAAAAAAGAATTAGATACTAGTAGATTACATAATCAGTACGTACTGGTCCATGCCGACAAAGCAGGTAACAACATTGTCTTTGTTTGTAAAGCTCATTATATAATTGTATTTTAGAAGAACTTAGATTTAATTCTACAAGTGGTAATCCAAGTTATACTCATACTTCCCTTTTCTAAGGCAGAAATTCCTTAAAATCATACGTCAGTTTTGAATATCTTTATATCCCGAAGAACCAAAATGATTTTGAACTACCATCTATGTATTGGATTCCGAAACTTCATAAGAATCCTTAGAAACAAAGATACATTGCAGGCTTCAGTAAATGTTCTACCAAGTTTTTGGTGACCAGGTCTTCCAATAATCTATTAGAATTTCCATGGGTACCAATTGCGCTCCGTTATTAGCAGACCTTTTTTTGTATTCATATGAAGCAGAATTTGTACAGAGTCTTATGCGTGAAAGAAAGAAAAAACTTGCTGTGGCCTTCAACTCAACATCTAGATGTATCGACGACGTACTGTAAATTAATAATGGTAAATTCCATTCTTATGTCGATACGATATATCCTGGTGAGCTTGAGGTAAAAGATACCACGGAGTCTGATACATTTGTTTTATACTTGGATATTTTAATTGAAAAAGACGTTAATGGTAATCTAGCAAGCAAGTTTTATGATAAACTTGAAGACTTTAACTTTAATATCGTGAGCTTAACTTACTTATGCAGCAATGTATTTCGTCACCTACATATGGTGTTTATATATCTCAGTTGATTTGTTATGCAAGAACATGCTGTATGTATGAACAATTTGTAAAACGAGGTAAATTATTTACAAAGAAGTTGATGAACCAAGAATATCAGCAGTCTAGCTTAAAGACCTCATTTCGTAAGTTCTTTGATCGATACAATGACCTTGTCAGCAAATACAATTTATCATTGATGCAAATGCTGACAGACGTTTCTCATATAAATTGTTAGTCCATTATTTATACACTGAATTGACGACGGATTTTTCCCTTATTGCCCGATCATGGTAGGAGGCGCTCGGCGGGTGTGAGTGGTCGGCAGGGGATGCTTCCTCCTCCCTGGCACCTGATCCCACCTCTGAGGTTTTAGAGGTCCGTGTTTCCTCTGCTCCTATTTTGTATTGTTTTATGGACTTTGATATTGACTACTGTTCGTTATCTCCATATCTTTTTCGTTAATATTTACGTTTCACCGGGTATGTCATATTGTTAAACTCTGAACACACCAAAAAACACGGACTGACAATACTGGTGAAAGAATATTGATTTCTACATTTTTATTTTAGTTTTAAAGTTTTCATTAGAACACAACAAAATTGGTACTTTTCTTACGTAGTTAGGATGAATTTAAAATTTGTGAAAGTGCAAGGGCGTGTCTATCAAATGTGCCAAGTAATTCGAATTTTCAAAATCTTCCAGAAAAATAAAGATTCTAATTATATTTTCTTATGAAATGCTATAGCAACATTTATATATCATGGACTTATACAGACAATTCGAGAAAATATTACATTTAAATCTGTGTTTAAGCATCTTTAAAGCAATCTGACAACACCTTTTATATTGGAATTTTTTTGTTGGAAAATTGAAATAAACTATTTCAATGAAAGGAAAAGAGAATGTTTGTAAGCATTTGTTGTTCATATTTTCAGTGGAAGAACTATTTTAAAGTTTTGATTGAAGCAGAATTGCATTATTGTCATCCTGTGCAAAAATGATTTCTTATGTTATACTATACAGTTGATTATAAAGAAATCTTTCTTCTTAAACAATTTTATACTTTTTTGAGTCTAAATGATCATCAAGGATTTTAAAATATATACAAAGTTATCATAATAGCATGTAATACAGCAAATAAAAATCTCCAAATTGCAGCTCATACTCAGTAATGCTTTAAGCCATATAAAGAAATAACAGAAAATAAAACACAAAATTTTTTTTTTCCACTGATATTTTATTCTGTCAGAGATGAAAAATGAGGGGCACACATTCAATACTTTTTCCTGAAGGGGTATTGAGGAAGTACTGGAAGTAGAGGACTAACTACACCTGAATCGCCTACAATACCATATGAACCGCCTACAGGACCATTCGAACCGCCTACAGGACCATACGAACCATCTACACCACCGAAGTCAGCAGAATACCCGCTGTAGAAAGTACAAGTATCAAGTTGACCAGATGAAAATCTTTTACAGCATTTCCCGCTTCCAGGACAAAGGGTGTCATCATTGCATGCATAATTTATTGATGTGAGAGGACGCATCATGAGATATGAATTGCATCTACCGGGTTTTTGATATTCAATTGGAATTTGACATCTCCGTCCATAGAGGGAATTTGAACAACATTTCTGTGACCCGTGACATATCCAGTCAGAATCGCAAGTAGGTCCCATTTGTAGAAAGTCTGATTCATCAGGCCGAGGACAAGTACCATATTTTGGCCCTACAGGGAAAGAAATCATAAGTGAACCTTTTCTTAGATTAATGGTTAAAAAAGATTTAACATTGATCACAATATTTGTACCGAAAAAATGCCCGAATAATTATTAATTTTTATCTGAGTATCAAGTTCGTTTGTTCACATGCATGAAGTTCTGATTACTGATTGAAAAAAAACAAAATGAGCAAAACCTTCCCGTTTATATCCGATCTCACTCTTGATTTAAAGTTCTTAAATATCAGTTGGCATCGAACCAGGTGAAAAAAGCAAGAGAAGTCAGGATCATGAAACCAGTGGTCAATGAATTGATAACGGTATGATTTATGAATAATAAAAATGTGCATATTTACAACGAAAATCATTATGGCAACAAACTGAAAGTACATTTTTAATGGTAGTCTTTCTTATTAAAGACCTATATACCCTTTAGATCGGTAGATTTATGAACTGAAAAGCTAATACGTTCCTTTAAAAAGGATAACAAATCTGCACATTTGCTTCTTTTAACCAAAATGCAAATGAAAATGGAACACGTAGTATAAAAAGTTACAATATAGTACATGAGACATGAAAATAAATTTTATATTACAAGTGAAGAGAAAATGTCAATTAATGAGTACCCATAGTACAATATGTATGAATAGAACACCAGAAATTAAATTAAGTTGCTTGATATGACGTAAAAAGAAAATGCTAATCAAATCGATACTTTAAAAAGTAAACAAATATGAATGCGTATGTCAACTTCTGTTCCTATCATGCCATCAGCGAAAATTATCTTCATGCTTTTAGCCAACTCTCAGCTTTGAAATAAGTCATTTTTTTTGGAATAAATATGTCAGCAGTGAAAATAAATTCCCCTGCACTTGTGTGGGATTTTAACTAGTACTTTATCAATACATGTAACATAAATATGCTTCCTTTAAATGTGTTACATGTATGATTACAAATTCGTTAATATCTCATGAAAACATGAGACCCTAGTCACTGATATGAAACATCTAAATTGGAACTATAAGCACTCCTAAAAAAAATTATAAATGCTTGCCTCGTGCATACATTTTAATCTTCTTCAGAGAGAAAAAATACCAGGTACCTGGAAAGAAATATTCTCCTACTCTTCCTCTTGAACCAACTCCTACTCTTCCTCCTCCATGTAATTGGGCCCCTCCTTGTTCTCCAACTCCTCTTAAACCATAGCTTCCTCCTCCTCCTAAACTTCCTACCTCTCCTACTCCTTCTACTCCTCCTCCTAGTACTTGTCCTCCGCTTAGTCCCCCTCCATGTACATGTCTTCCTCCTCCTCCTCTGTATACTTGTCCTCCTACTCCTCCTCCATGTACTTGTCCCCTTACTCCTCCTCCGTGTACTTGAGGCCTTACTCCAACACCTCCTCCGTGTACTTGTCTTCCTCCTCCTCCTCCTCCATGTACTTGTCTTCCTACTCCGCCTCCGTATACTTGTCCTCCTACTCCTCCTCCATGTACTTGTCCTCCTACTCCTCCTCCGTGTACTTGTCCTCCTCCTCCATGTACTTGTCCTCCTCCTCCGCCTCCGTGTACTCGTCCTCCTCCTCCCTCTCCTCCTCCATCATGTACTTGTCCTCGTCCTCCGCCTCCATGTACTCGTCCTCCTACTCCGCCTCCATGTACTTGTCCTCCTCCTCCTCCTCCATGTACTTGTCTTCCTCCTCCGCCTCCGTGTACTCGTCCTCCTCCTCCGCCTCCGTGTACTCGTCCTCCTCCTCCGCCTCCGTGTACTCGTCCTCCTCCTCCGCCTCCATGGACTTGTCCTCCTCCTCCGCCTCCGTGTACTCGTCCTCCTACTCCGCCTCCGTGTACTTGTCCTCCTCCTCCGCCTCCATGTACTTGTCCTCCTCCTCCGCCTCCGTGTACTCGTCCTCCTACTCCTCCTCCGTGAACTCGTCCTCCAACTCCGCCTCCATGTACTTGTCCTCCTCCTCCGCCTCCGTGTACTTGTCCTCCCACTCTTCCTAATCCTACTGTATATACTCCGCCATCTTCCACATCGTCGTAATTGCGAGTTCTTATTGAATCGTAACCCGCATTACAGGAAACAAGAACAGAGGCTAGCACAATCAAGATGTTCATTTTGACTGTAAATACATTATTTTGATTTTAAAATCTTGGTACCTTTTATAGGTTCAGAACAAATTTAAAAAATGTTAAAATATCCTTTCTCAGAGGTCGACTGTATTTAAAGACATTAAAAAGTGAATATAAAATATAAAAAAAACTTGAGTGACACGATTCATATGGTATTTTTGCACAATATTTGAACGTGATTATCTTTTAAGTAACGATAAGCAACATCCTGTTTTAGTTAATCATAATTCCAATACTTTTGTCTTAAATCTCTCGTTGAATTTTTGCATTCCTAAAATTAAGACTCAAGGACAGTTCTGTAAAGATCTAAAACCTTTACAATTTTCATAAACAAATCTTCTAACATTTATTGGTTTATCATTCGGAAGAGTGAAGGAATAAACTCTATTGATAGAGTTTTAATTTCCCTGTTTTGAAAGTTCAAATTGCACTTACCTGCGATCCGATTCTGTGCAGAAGCAATAATGCTTCCAACCAAGATCTTGTGTCTTTTTATAGTTCTAGGAAAGCAAAAGGTCACAAACTCCCACCACAACATTGGTTGGAATGTTTTTGTATTCATTCACCATCTTTATTTCCTAATATTTTCGTCCAATATTATTAGGCGTTAAATGGGAAGTTTTTATCCACTAATTATTTAATTTATAACTTGCATGGGAAGCTTTTTAAACATTTTTTTTTTAAATGTTGAATTGATAAAAGGTAGTTATCATAAATACTCAATCAGATTGACAGAGGTCAAAAGAACATGAAAACATACATATTTTTTAAAGTTTAATTTCATGACAAAGATTAAATTCAAATTCTAAGAAGGTGCTTTCCAAGAATGAAAAAAACAAAGATCTGCATGGAATTTCTTTAAATCAGAATTCTTTCCACGAGTTTATACATTATGGTGGAATGTAATTTTGATTTCAAGATGGTGCATCGATCAGGTTTTGTTTTGTTATTAACAAAAAAAATTAAAAATAAATGTTTTTATTTTTAATTGAGAACAAAATGATTTAATAGGCTTTCGCACTTACCGTGCAGTGAAAAATACGTTAAAATTTTTTTCGTCCTAAAATTATTTATTGAAAAGATTTGCACAAAAAATGAAGGATTACTGGATTTAGGAAAGAAGTATGATTCTGTAAAATATCCCACCCGCCAACACAAAAGAATAAATTCTGTAGTCGGTCGACAAGAGTGTCGGGACATCGAATTTTTGTTGATATGATTGAAACAAAGTGAGAGACAAGATAACATTTTATTATCTTTCTTGTTATTAAAACATTATCACATACCTTTCAAAGTCTCAATATAATCTATATTATCTATACAGTTGTAAATGGTTCATAATATGTAACCCTTCATATTCACCGGAATTGACGCCACATTTCCCAGAGGGCCAGAGCCTGTTCAGCGTCGAATGATATCTCACAGTCGTCACCAAAATCTGAAATTAAATTACTAATATTAACTTAAAATATAAAAATGGCTACGTTTGAAAGGTGTGATAATAAAGTTCTATGGTTTGTGATTATATATATAATTATGTTTTTATCCAAATCATTGTTACCAATTAGCTAAATTGTTTTGGTAAGAATCATTCTGATTGTACATACAAGTACTCTGAAGTTGACATCAAAAAGATGGTTGAGTTTCTGATTGACAATATCTATGTGGTTTTTGGAGGCAGGTCTTCAAACAATGTTTTGGAAATCCCATGGGTACTAATTTCGCTCAAACCTATTTTTAGTCATGGCAATCGAATACATAATTGGCAATCGGTAAACCGCAAGACGTTCCGACCGATTAACCGTTTATACGTATTAAAATATGCATTTCTTGATGTTAATGACTCTTTTTTCCTAAGTAGATTTATTCATATATATGAGAAGACATAAAGTTTATATGTATTATCATTGTATTTGTCTTGATTCTTGCTTAAAAACACAAGCTTATATGTTCTATTCTAGTCTCAATATAGATCGGGAGAAAGTTAAGAAAACCACGAATCATGTCTGAGAATTTATTGATATTTTTCAATGAAGATTTCACATACGTTCATTCTGCGTTGTCACCATAATTCAAACTAAGTTTGTAATACATCACTTAATTTTCAAAGTTTGTCTAGTAATTTTTTCATTAGATGACTGCAAAAAAAAAAAAAAACAAAAAAAAAAAAACAAACAAAAAAAACAAACACAATAATTTACAGTTCTCAACCGTGATTTAATTATCATTGAAGAAATACAGAACAGTCAGAGTATCGACATGGTGGATTCATGTTTTCGTAGAGGTAAGTTGAAATCTTCATCAAATCAGAAGTGTGAATGATTTCCTGGTGTTTTGCAGGTCTTGCTAGACCTTCCTGTAGATTTTTTTTTCAGTTTTCCCTCAAGAATGCTGTTTGAACTTAGTCTGGTCCGATCAATAGAAACAAATACTTCCAACGGCAAATAATTATTATTTGGTCCAGCATAGTTTTTAAACCTATTTTGAGTATGCTGAATCCGAAAAAAATATGCTGGCCTTCATAAAAATGGCGTTAAAGAGGTCAAAATGGCGATTCAAAACGGCGAACATCCAATTTTCTAATTTTCTTTCAATATCGTTCAAAAAGGAGAAATAATGTGTGAATATCTTACTGAGTGTAATACAAGTATAAAAATGATAATAGAATGCTAACATTATTAGTTTAACTCAGAAAATCTAGTCGTTTCTACACTAAATTCGAAATTTCTCTGATTTACTTGTCTATTGTTCTATATTCTGCTTTGTTCAGGATTTTACATTTGCAAATATCCATACCCTGCAGATTTGTATTTTTTCCCCTACATCCCACTTTTCTACAATTGAATGATGGTGCAGCTGTAAGTTAAAAGTCAAAATGGCGATTCAAAATGGCGGATATTCCTTTTTTCAAATTATTTCTTAATGTCGTTTACATAGGAGAAAGGATTTGTGAATATCTTACTGAATTCGTAAAATACCCAAACTGCTTAATCTTGAGTCGTTTTGCAGAAAATAAATTACAGTTTGTTTTTTCATATGTATTGATTAGCCCATTAAATGTGAACAAACAAAAAATACTAGAAAAGATTCATTTTTTCTGGAAAGAAATGAAACAAACTCGACTTAAGAGTTTCCAAATGTTCCCCCTCGTATTTGATCGTGTTCCAAAGCCTTTGAGCCCCCGTTCACCTAAAATCACTCCTGAATCCTGCATGTCTTTATCAAGTAGCATTTCTACCTCAAGATCCCTCAGCACACCATCAAATATAACTGACGAAATTCTTGTCCGATTTCATCGAATACTTTGTTCTAGCTTTTTAGCACTTATAAGAACTTAGTATTATCCCCTAACATCTTCTATTCCAGCTTTACTTGCTATATGTTTCAGTCTGTCTTCGGAATTTTGGTATTTTCAACACTCAAGTAAAATGATGCCTCGTGTCAAGGATGACAACCCACTTTGCACGTAGAAGATCGTTTCTATGGAGTTCAAAAAAGAGTAAGCTCACTGGTGGCCGCTAGAGAAACCAAAATTCTTCACAAACCGATTATTTACACTTATAGTCCGCCGAAACATGGCTGAAAAATTGCCGACTCGACGTTAAACAATAAGCAATCAATCAATCAACACTCAATGAACAATACATTTATGTTCAAATGTTAAAAGTCTATTTTGTTTTCCAAAACATTATGCAAAATGAAGTAGAGGTACTGTGAGCAATTAGCTCACTAAATGATACCCTCGTCTCCCATATGAATATAAATATAATAATGACAGTGTCCATGTTTTGCTATGTGAAACCCATAATATGTGTTGGATCAAAAAGTAAAATAGGAGGTGCACAGTTTATCAAATTTCATTCAGTGGTATGAGAGGAGTTGCGGATAAGAGATGGGTACCCCAAAGCGTAAAAGACGGACGGATGGATGGACATACCGATTACGCTATACCCTCCTGCTTTTCAAGCTTTATTATCTGGAATCACACTGAGTGCATACTTTGGTGAGAAAAGTTGTATAATTATCCAATTCAAGTGCGCCTGCAGATCCCTCGTGATTCATATCACTTACAAGCTTTCGTACCAATAGGCCTAAGCCATTCTTGACTTCGATCTAGTCAACACTCCTCTTGACAACAAAATTTTCTTGAACACTCCAAGAACTTTACAAGGCAACTTGATCTACACTTCTTTGTTAGGATAGTGTAAGGTTGTATCAAGAATCGAGGGAGGATTTAACACAAACATTTTCTTCTTTCAGATTTTGTAAATTTCAAAATTTTTACATTTATATACACTGTTCAATACAAAATTGGTGGAAGAGGACCGATCACGACATGAAATATTTGAGAATGCAGTTGAATTTTTGACTGACAATAACAAAATGCAAATGTAGGGACACAGAATCAGAGCTGGACAATCAAGAAAATTTATGGTTTACGTATATTATACTGATAATTCTAAATAACATGTTTATATTTGGATATTATAATATATTCAGATTTATATGATGTAACAATTACTAGCCCTTTCATTGATCGTGGTTCATCATTTTAAAAATCATACTAAGTTATGTTGCACTAGACTTTCCATATGAACATAAACAGTTTTTTCTACACTGGACTAAAAATAGATCAAGAATTTCCAACAACTGATATGATTTAGCAACCCTCGAACTACAATGTTCACTCGCCTTAATGCTCGGGGAATACTTCTCTTTGGGTAGCTTAATTTTCATATTGTTCTCAAAACAGCAAATATTGTATGATATTATTAAATTTTTATATGAAGTAGCTTGATTAGACGGGTAATAGGTAAAACGTTTTCGGAATTGTCGTTAAAAATTTATCTTAATAATAGAAGTTATTAAACAAAAAACCTGTGTTATAGAAATCCTAAGTCATTAACAAAAATATCCTCCAATTTCATTACATATTTGAACATTATTTCATGAATAAAAAAAAACCTGTAATTTATTTTCTACAA